CACATGCCAATGAGAAAGGGTGAAGATGTTCACCTTACTTTTAAAATATTAAAAAGGTAAATCATTTTCAATATTTAATTTAAGATTTTTTTATATATTTTAATAGAACTATGATGATTGAACTGAATTGACTATATTTGTGTGCAAAAATTGGATATATTTTAGCAAAGCGACTTGAAACAATGTTGGTGGTGAATCTGCACCTTGTAAATAAACTGAACTTAATGGAACCAATTTGTATTTAAAAAATGGAAATATTTCATAACTATTATACCTAACTGTTGCCTAAACTATGTAAGTTTAGGCAACAGTTCAAGGTGTTCAAGGTGGTTCAAAATAGGGATCCACCATTATGAGAATTTGGGTTAACATCAATACCTGAAATTAATATAGCTGTTATTGCTGATTACTGATATTTACCAATATTTGTATTTCTCTAGCCTTTCGACACCATGCAAAATGACCACACTGCCTCGATGCTTCAGGTAAACACCCCAAACTCGCCATCACATGACTAAATAAATACCACATGACTAACCTCCTTCCATCCCTCTTCAGAAATGCAAATGGCAACAGGATGGAAATAAATGTCGGTTGTTAATATCGGTCCAGTTATTATATTTATTGGACTGATATCAAACTGTTAAAAAATGACCAACATCCGCTAATATGAGATGAAAATGCCGAGCTCTGATGCAGCTGTTGTCCCCAAATAGTTTTTAGACATAGCGTTAAGATTGTTTATACGCTTTTTACTTTTAAGTACTCATAATACTTTGAGGTATCCCAGCTAAAATCAACTTGAATCTGATAGAAAATATGTGAACTGGGGTAAAGATTAAGGTGATGCCAAAGAGACCTTAAAATATCAAAAATGTGCAACTGATCGCAGTGGATGAAAGGTTAAAAATAACACTCCAAACATAAGAAGGCTTTTACTATTGTGCCACAGAATAACAGAAATAATTTTATTTTTAAATTATACTCATAGTGCATTGTATTAATGGAGTCTGCGTATTTTTCCAATCACTAATACGTATATGAATGTCACAACAATTCTTTTAGAAATTTCTACTCTAATAGACTTTTAATTTTTAAGGACATGTACAACTTCCTGTTGCTGTAGTTCTACATTTATGCACCTGCGCCTTTTATTTGACATCTCTAGAAATCCCTATATTCCTTGTAGAAACTGCATTAGGGTTACAAAAAGTACAACTTCAAATAAAAATCAACAAACCTGAAAATAATTTATAACTCTAATTTATAAATACAAAATTATAATTTGAAATAAATAAATAAATAAATAAAATACATATGCTTAACTGTGTTTTTTTTGCTATAGTAAAATCTGCTCCGTTTAAACCCAGAGCCGAGTTGTATTTTTAAGCAATGCCAAAAAAATCTAACTAACGTGAGTTAAATGTGATCTCTCAGGACCTGAACACCTTTGGACATAAAGGCATTCAGGGCCATCATTAGCTCTTGTTGTCTCCCTAATTTCTGTGACCTTAGCAAGAATAAATAACATCCTTCATAAAAACTTGAAACATCAGGAGCCTTTCATCACAATTTGCTTCCATTAATTCAATTCCATATTCGACTCACACTAAACCCAAGAAAACAATGAGCATTTGATGGTTTTTTGGATTCCTTTTTCAAAAAAAGAGAAATACATTAATGATGCTCTCTGACAGTCTGCATTAATCAGAAGGGCTCCCCTTGAACACAAGTCTTTATCGGCCATCGATTTTCCAGTGGGTTTATGGCGAGCGACACACGGAGAGAGCTCGTCGCCAGGCGGCTGCTGGGAAACACATTACGGGGCTGTCAGTTGTCTCGCCATGCATCCTGCATCATTCTTTAAGCACATGAGAAGTTCATTACAGCGCACAGCTCTGACAGTGCATAGGATATTAGGGGCTGTGTCCCTTGCACACAATCTTAAAGGAACTTCAGTACACTGTCCAGAGGAGACTTTATGTTTATATGGCTTGACTTGCATACATCAAATCATGACTATGTGAAGAATTGTTTTTTTATTCTGTAATTGACAAAATAAAACAACAGGTTGCAGGGACATAATACGAACAGCATTTTTGTGGTATTAAAGACCTCAATGTCAAGGACAAGTCTATCTCACAAAGCTCTGTGTAGCTGCTGCCAGCATCAGACTTCGTCTGATAAAGTAACTAAATGTTTCTAGTACAAAGGTGAGGGCTTTAAGCTTGATGCTCTGCACCATTGTTTGAGACTCTTATTTTGAAGTAAGACAGGAAGCAGTCCTGGAATTTCTGCCTTAGTATGTTTTGATTCTGCTGATGTCACTCGATGAGGACTGAAAAAGCCTCCACCATTTGACGGTACCACCAATGGCTAACTGCTTGCAGCTAACATTGCTAAACTACAGGGATCTTGAGTACATCTCATCAGCTCAAGTTCAGAAATGAAAATACATAGGTTGGTCAAACCTTAACTACATATTTTTTGCGCTGCATAGAGATTATGCAGTGCAAAGTTGTAGAACTTTTGCAAAACCTGAATCTTATTTGTGAAAGACTGAGAAACACCACTTTATAAAGAAATTTCAAATGTGGATAATAGATTAAAAAAAAGTCATTTTAATAATACATATAGCAGGTGGTTATTTCATTTTTGAATAAGTATATCAAAACTAAAATAAAATTACAGTTTTACCAATTACATTATTAATTACATTATCAAAACAGTCATAATGATATATTATTTTAGCTTTGCAATTGTTCTTGCTTTTCTATGTTGAATAAAAGCTGTTAATACATTTTGTTTTAAAACCTGTGCCACTACTGCAATTCTGTTATACTGTGATGTTTTTCTAAAAAAAGAAAAAAAAAAGGAAAAGAAGAAACAAAAACAAAAAACTGTAAGAATCTCAAACCAGACCATTCCTATTTGTGATTATAACTAGATAATAGCCCTTTTGCCATCCTGCTGTAGACTCCTTCTAAGTACCGGCAGTGGTGGTACATTCAAAAATGATGCAGTGACAGTTTCTCCAGGCTCCAAAGAACATCCCACACGTCCCATGCTGACCAAAATGATATCTCACCTTAAAACGCTCGTGCTGTTTTGATTTATGATGCTTCACAACTACTAAAATTCAATTTCAGCCCGCAGTGCATGCCTCTGATTGCCCTGTAAATGAGATAAACTGATAGCAATTTATTCAAGGATCCCACCTCTCCTCTTTTTTTATTTTTTTTATTTCTTGCCTTCTCTCTCTCTCTGTCTCTCTCTCTCCTATTCTTCTAACAGGACATGCAGCTCATACCCTTAGAATTGGGTGAATCCAATATTTAAGCGATATGTCTGTATTGTGGAGCATTCAGCTGAACAGACATGCTGATGCTAATAGAAAACCTTGCAGAGAAGAATGAGATAGATAGAAAACAATGTGCATGTTTGATGATGTGAGAAACATTCAGAATCTGCCTCCTCCGGTCTGATTGCTCTTAAACTTCTTCCTCAAGAAGTCCAGGAGTAAACAGACAAATGGATGAGGTTTGAAGATGTTTGACAAAGCCAGCTGTCACTCGGCTAAGAACTTCCATGTGCCAGGAGATGCACATTAAGAGCTAAGTAATGTCAAATAAAACTCAAGTACGGATGCTGTGAGATGCAGGCTGATTATGTACATACATAGAGCTGCAGCTCCTGACATACTGTCAAAACATAAATCATGATGCCAGATGCAGAATATTAAAGTATTTGGCCCAGTATGACTACTGAAACAGAGGTTGATATCGCCACATAAGACTCTATAGTACCACTTATGTCACACCACTTATCACTGTGATGCTGATGATGTTCCCTCTGTACAACAATGTGGTCAACAGACCCATTCAGACTTTAAAGAGGAGCTGTCAGAGACTGGGATAAAAAAGTATAATGATTATAAATGCTAAGCCCCATTTAGGAGGCGTCAATGCCATTGTTGTTGTTATCCAGCATATCAATCTTGTTGATTGATCATCCCGTTTGGGTGACATCAGTTTTATGGCCTCTGAAATGCGTCTCAGTGTTTTCACAATGCCATCCAATTAGGGCTCTCCATTCATCATTGGGCTGAGGAATCATTATTAATTGGGTGGAGAGCTGGCTGCCACTCCCCTGCTGAGGACGGCCACATTCACTATTCATGCAACGGTAAAATAAATTGGGGCTGAACAGGGGGTCGCATAGAGACACAAAACTACACACCTTTATATTCATCATATACACATAAACTCTGAATCAAGATTACTTTTTGGTGTTTCCCCCCCCCCCCCATCATGACAGTTTGTGTTCTTGTAATCTAGAAATGCAGTAATGATAACGTCTCTGAAAGGTTCTATCCAGTGGTGTGTTGTTCATCAGTAACAGATATACATGAACGATATCAACACAGCTGGGTAATGAAGTATGCGTTCCTAATGTTTATATTTCAGAAAATACAAAACACACTAACAAAAATCGCCTCAAATTCTGCTTAGCATGTATGCGAGTTCGTGACATCACAATCGGAGCATGAACAAACCAATCAGCTGTTGGGAACACACACAACATGTTTGATGTATTTCTACAGATTTGTAAGTATTTGTTTCTTGTTCCAGTCTCCCCTCATCCTCTTTCAAAACCGCTACCTCGTGTTTTATTGTCGTCAGATGTTTTGAAAATTCTCACACACCAAAAAACTGCTGACTGCTGGCAAGATAGAACACAAGTGAACACATTTGAAGGAGGAGGTTGGTTAAAAACACACCAACCTATAAAGAGCAAAAAACAAAATAAAATAAACGCTAATAAATGAAAGTCAAAACAATTTTTTCATTTTTAAAATATACCCAATGAAGCAGCTATTTAAATCTATGTTCCTATTTTGTGTTGGTGGATTTGCCAGTTAAAACTGTCTTTGTTTTCTGTTGCTCTAAGAAACTGACCCACAGTTCAGAAAAATAGTAAAGTTATGTCCTTTGTCATACCATCATTGCCCGCTGATAGGCCATCCGGCTTTGTGATGCCTGTGCTCTTTTTCCGCCTGTGTTTCTTGCGGTTGGCGTGCGGCGATGGAGGAGGCTCAAGTTTAGGACTCGTGGCACTGCCCATGCTGGAAGTAGCAGGATCAGTCATCCCATTGGCTGAGTGAACACAAAGCAAAACTTAATAAGAAAAAAAATAATGCATGCTTTTTTATTTATTGTTCAGAAATACTTAAGGCTTTTTTTTTTAACAAAAAAGAACATGAAAGTGTGAAATAATAAGAATATAACGTCAAAAAAGGAAAAAAGGAAAACAAAAAGTTTATAGCCTAAACTTAGACTATGTACACTCCATCATGCTTAACATTAAATACGTTATCTTTCATTAAAATTGTTTTTAGTTAGAATGTTCAGTTTGATTAGTCATGAATTTAAAATAATGACATTTTACTTTTGATTTATTTTGTGTTGAGGGCAATAAACACCCCTGTTGAAAATACGAAGTAAAAATATAAATTCAGGCAAAGTATTAAAGAAATGTAAACTATTTAAGCTTCATTTAATAACAATGTTAATGTTAATAATAAAACGGTAAAAATACATCAGTTCAGCTTTAAAATTAAATAAGAATTCAGTGACTCATTTTATAAATGATTTGTAGCATCATCTCTGCTCTGAGAGGACTGTTTGTTGAGGCATAAATGGACATGAGGGATCTTAAAATGTCACAATGAGTCCCAAATGTACACAATCATTGTTTTGCATTTTAAGCCTTAAAAATATTACACATAATCTGATTTTTCATTTTAAGTTTGCATGCCTTTTGCTTCTTCCACTTACCCTTTTTTTAATTACTATTTTTTTTTTCATGTTATAATTTTGACAAAGGAATTAGGGTGTGACTGTGTTATGACAAAGCTTTAAAAAGGAAGGTGTTTTACACCCAACATTGAAATGTTCCCACAAACCAGTGGGGGGGGGGAGAAAAAACAAAAAAACAACTTGGGAAATTGGCTTATTAATAGGAATCCAAATGTTCTTGTTACCTTATCCATTACTAGCTTCCTTTAGTACAATGAGGCTCAATGAGGAAAGTAAATACGGCCCTACATTTTTGGCATTTATTGTACCCTAGAAGTCTGCAGAAGGAGAGACCATTGCAGAAATGCACCAATATGAATTTTGAAGCTGAAATTAAATCCCTGACATGTATAAGGCTTTTATGATACTGGTTTTGGACAAATGTGATTTCCCCCAAGAACTATGATATTTACCCTTAACTATTCAGCCTTTCTATCTCAAATTGTTTAAATGAGGAGCTCGTGCCAAGCGTGAGAGAGACTAGTGTCTCTAAATTGGGTGTTACCATCCATCCGCCCATACATAACAGATCCAGCTGAAAAACCCAAATATTTCTCTCCAAAGTGAGGTGTACAGGGCATTCAGATTAGCTCCCAGAGTCATCTAAATTGACTCCTTTTGATGTGGAAAAGAAGCTGCATAATGTTGAGCTTTCCCTTGGATGACAGAGCTCCCCACCCTCGTTTTAAATACCATTTTACATCTCTGTGCATTCTCTGAAACCTCATTAATATTGGAAACGGCCAACTTTGAGTCTTCTTCAATCAGTAACAGCATTCACACTTAAGAGTGTAGTTGTCAGCAGGACTTATTAGGATTAAATGGTCAGAAAACTGTCAGATTTCTTTCTTCGTGTATGTGGATCCTAGTAACACTGAGGATTACAGAAACGAAAACTTCCTGAACTTTAAATTTAAATGTGTAACATACAAATAATGTCAATACACCGGGAAGCAGCTCAGAAAGAAACTTGAGTTTTAGATGTTCTGAAGGACATGTATGGGTCTGTGAACGAATGGTTACCTGAATTAGCCTTTGGCAAAGCTCACTATATGACTGTCTGAGAGTGACAGGGGGCTGAGAACCAGCTTTGTTTCTTGTAAGTGATTTTATAAATGTGATATTAACCTGTGCTACCGTCGGGCAAAGGGACAGGAGGGATGGGAAGATAGCAGGGGTTTGTCAGCTTGCCATCTTTCTGATTTCCTGACATTTGACATCACTTTCCCTTCTTCCCCCCTCCGGATGCCATTAAGAATTTGAGAGAGCGGGGGCCAGAGGCCTGGGGGAAGTGGGAAGGGAGGGCCGGTAGATGGGCCCCATATTGCTCTCTTCTTACCACCCTGTGTGGTGCTGGCAGCATCCTCCATTGTCTCCCATCAAAAGCTCATTGTAGTGTAGCAAACTCCATTCATTTCCCTGCGCACCGTCCCAGCCTCCAGGGGTGGAGTGCAGGAGGACAAGGGACTCAGGGATTATTGCTGTTTTTGTTGCCAGTTGCACATGCTGTAATGTGCGCCATTGTGCCATTAGCCAGTGTACAACATTAGGCCTAATTCGGTCATTACCTTTAGGGAGACGGGGCTGTCTTGGAGGAGTAAGTTGAGCACAGCAGGGGGCTGAAGATGCTTACAGGGCGGGGGAGCTCAAGAAGTCTGGGGTGGGGGGGGGCACTGTTTGAGACTCAAATACAGAGGATAATACCTGAGACACACATCATTATGTTTGTCCTCAACTTGGAAATTAAGCTTGATGAGCTGACAAAAAGAAAAAAAATATATAAATTTGAAGTATGTATTTCTACTTTTTTGAAGTCATATTTTACCATAAATAACATTGTTTTTTGGTAAGCAACCACACTGATTATGTGCCATCACACACACGCAAAAAAAATAAATAAAAAAAATGCTGCTTTCGCTGGAGCACATATATTAAGCTCTCTGGTGCTTTGAATGGCAGCGCGCAGCCACACATGTAGCAGCCCTTCGTCGAGGCGTCTGTTTCAATTTTCCTGCTCCCTTACAACAGCCCCCCTGAGACAAGTCATTAGTTGGCTCAGACAGCTGGGGGCACAGGGGTCCTCCGTGTGCACCCTCCCTCCCTTCCTCGCTCTCTTTCCTCCTCCCTTTCCATACCGACTTTTGTCCCGCCAGCACAGCTCCGTATGGCGGGTGGAAGACATGAGCTCCAACCTGCCTCTGAAGTGACACCCAGCATTTGTTTAATGTCGCTTGAGGTTAAAGGGGAGGGCTGCCCCTCGGGGGGCCCCAACCGTGTCATAAACACCTCTAATTATCAATTTCTGGGCCCTAATGTTGTGGAAAATGACCCGGGTTCTTTTCATTCTGCACCTGAAACACGCTCCAGAATCTGCAACACAAAGGTGGAGCTGCAGAGGAAACGGAGCAGCGATAGGGAAGCATCTGTAACCCAATGGATGCATATGAACGATTTCCTGTAAGTGGTTTTAAGCTCTAAACTACGCCTAGCTGTTAAATAAAATTTGTTAAGATGAGGATTATGAAGTTGAAAGTAATCTGATTGAGAAAGCCCAGAAATCACAGTGGCATTATTAGCCGGCTGTTAGTGTGTATGAGGGCCATCAGGACCAAGCTGGGTAATGAGTTGCACTGGGGATCAGGAGACTCTTTACCACTCAGCCACGATCACCTGGGCAGCAGAATAGGTACGAGGCTAACCTGTGATTACAGTGTATTACACTCCCACCACGTAGATGACAGCTTAAACGTGCTTCAGGATGAAGGCTGAGGGTGAGACAAAGAGAGCGCTGCAAGCAGATTCCTGTCTTTATCAGAGCCACACTGAGAGAGAGATCGAGAGAGCTAGAGAGAGAGAGAGAGAAAGAGAGAGCAACGGTTGGGGGGAGGTGCGGGGGGGGGGGCGGAGGAAGGAGGGAGTTATTTCATTTTTATTCAAGAGGCTCAAGGTAAGGAGCGCCATGATTCCCCCAGGCCCCTTGACACGGCAGCCCTGCCTGTCCTCAATCAAAGCCAACGGCTGCAATTAATGGCAAAAATTAGAAACAATCACCGCCTCCCCCTTATTATCCTCAATTAGAGCGTACTAATCAAGGCCTGATCGCGCTCTGCTGCTCTCTCCAAACTAAATGTCAAACTTCATTACAACCTGGCTTAGAAATCAAACGCCCCACACGCTATCACCCTCGCATCGGGAGGCCGACGTATAAAATAAAGTGCAGAGGAAAGAGGCGATCCGTGTGATAAGGAGCTGAATTGGAAAGTTGTTACGCTGTTTATCAACTGCGAAGGAAATTCAGAAGAGCAGATGGTTCGGACACTGACCAAGTCCAAGAAAAATACATTTCTTGATGACAAGACGGAAATATAATATGAGACCCTGTCTGTAGAAGACAGAAATAATAGAGTATTAGGTAAAGCAAAACATTCTGTAGCACAATTCACTCCACGTTCTTTACTGCTCAGTTGCTTAACCATATGTGCATGATGGCAAATATTTGGGGCAATACTTACAAATGCCGATTGTCGTCATTATCTATTCTGCGGAAGAAAGCATCAAGGGTAATCTACTTTATAGAGAGAAAACATACAAGTCTAAAAAAAAAAGAATTTTAAAATAAAATATTCAAGTTCTCTCATACTGCACAGATCACATCAAAGTAATTTCCAGACAACACCCACAACTTAAAAGGTGTATTTGTGTGCAAATTTAAGGACACCAATAAGGCTACAACATCCTGCAGCCCATGCACCATGAAAGACCACTCAGCCTATGAGACATCAACTTTGAGGCTATTATTTAGGTTTAAAATCAAAAAATCTTGTGCAACCACTCTCTCTAATTTCCACGGTTCTTCAGATTTTGAGATGAACTTAACTTTACTCACTCCTTGACCCTGACTTCAGTAACCGCCATCAGCAATCCTATGACAATGCTTCAGATGACTGAACTGCGAGAGTTTAATCCAGGTTCGAAAGATTGAGGCACACGACGGAGAGCAGCATCTAAACAAGCTCTCAGCACATTAAGAATGAGCATCCTTATGAGTAGAAGCAATAAAAAAAATTGGGCCGGGATTTAATCAAAAAAGCAGTGCTCAATATTCAAGAGATGCTCCTACCCCTGCCTCTGCCTTTGCATCAGTACGTTTACAAATGAGAGCCCTCTTTAAGTAATATGGAAATGGTTACCTGGCTAAAATGCATTCATTCTCCTGTGAATCATCAATCTGCTGTTTTTGCATCACATTTTAGGTTATAACCTGCAACCTTCGCCAAGGATAATGGAGTGATTGGGCTTGGTTCAAGTCAATTCTAATGGCAAAACACGAGTACCCTCTCACAGTGGAACACCCTCTATTGATTATGGAAGACACCTCAGGATGAAAGATAAGCGAGTTGCATTTCAATCAAGTTTATGTTTTCTGATAGGCCAGTCACATTTTACCACCACAGGTGCTGCAAGCTGCCTTAATTCAGACTGTGGAGATGAAAGGAGGGATATAAGTTCTTAAGCCCCAAAGACTTTCCTCTTAGTGTAAAAGTCTTGAACCGTCTGCCCTGACTTTGCACTGATTACAGCAGCACTTTTTCTCCAATGCACCACATTCTGTCATTTGGCACGTTTCTCCTATTGTTTTCAGCTCATTTGCCTCATTCAAGATCATTTATGGTTACCTTAAAAGTAGCATGAAAATAATTGAAGAAAAGTAGAATAACGGAGCAAATTGTGAATCTGATTTAGTTGAAGTCTGGCTGCTGGTTAATGAGCTATGTTAATAGTTAGGGGCTTTTCAGTTTAACAAATATGAAAAAGGAAAAATTCCACTCTTCCTAATTTCCACGGCGCAATGTTTAGGAAGTCCTACTTGTACAGTGCAGCTTGGCTTCTTTATTCGCAAACATTAAACTATAAAACTGTTTTTATTTCTGTCACAGACACAAGCACGCTTAGTGGGAAAAAAAAAAAAAAAAAAAAAGTGCACGTACAAACAGCCAACACACACTCGTGTTCATTTATTTGAGGACCCCACGAATCTAAGTAATTCTGCTTTGGGCATGGTGCTGATGGGAGACGCGGGGGAGAGGAGGAAGGGAGGGTGTGATGGAAGTGCCTGCGTCCAGGCAGAATTGATCGTTCGGCAGCTCCAAATGATAGTCAGGCTTGTCTGCGGAACCACGAGGGCCGTGCAGTTGGACTCCAGCAGCGCTCGTAAAGTGCGCTCTTTAAACTGCCGGGGCCCCTGGGAGCCCATGGGGAGGAGGGGAGCCGCCGCCGCGCTAATGAGAACTACCAGAGTGCAAACATGCATGGAAATGACTGTTATTCTGTTGATGTGCATTTAAGTGCTTTTTTACTGCCAACCACAAAGAGAGGGAAATAACTGGTGATGAATGGTACTCCCGAAAAGCATTCATTTTCCTCTTCGGAAGAAAGGAGACGAAAACAGACGAGGTTGGAGGGGGTGGGGGGAGGAGACAGAGAGTAAGATGGAAGGTAAAGACAGGATGGTTTCGGTTGGTGGGGGCGGGGGGGGTAGGGGTTGTCAGATTTGGTGAATATATTATTTTACTATACGCAAGTACACTGACAAGGCGGCAGTAAGCGGGTATGCATCGATGGCAGAAAGTTAACCTTCACTGTTCCCCTCCTCCAAACAAGCTGCTTCTGTCAAAGAGCAGCAGCCAAAAAGGTCACAGCGATCACAGTTCTGATCACACAATCATGAAAATTAGGCTTTTTTCATCTACATAAAAAAATAAAAATAAAAAAAGGTTGAAAAAAGCTCAATTACACTGCTGCACTCTAGATCCTTTCTGTTTGTTTTCATCCTGCCATGTGTAACAGAGATTCCACGGGACTTGAATCTGCGACTTAAATTCAAGTCGCTCTTAAATTGCAAAAGCAAAGAGTTCAGACTTGAATCAGATCTATGCTCTAAAGACTCAACTCGGGCTCGAGGTCCGACATTCAAACGCTGTGAGGAAATCATCAAAATTGTCCCCTCTGATTTACTGCAGTGTACGCAATAAGGTTGTCACAAAACTAAAATTTCAAACTTGATGCCGGTAAAAAGACAAACACTTCCTACTTGATGCTATTGATACTGCGAGAAAGACAACACAGGTTTCGTTTTAATAAAGGTCAAAACATCATTATCACAAACAGTATGACAACATTTGTAAAAGATATCAATAAATAACAAGCACGTCAGCAGTAATCTAAATGTAAAGTAATAATATAACAGTTGAGGATACATTATGTACCTTGTACTTAATTAGACAAGTTGTCTGAAACCAGGTTCCCCAATATGGTACACTGGGATGTGGTTCATATAATTGTATAAATCAACTTCCTCCTCCTCTGTCTGTTCTTTGTTCCCGCTCTGCATCCATAAAACTTCCATTTCAACTTTTTTTGGGGATTTGCTTCCGATAGTGAAAGAAAAAAAAAAAAGAAAAAAAAAAAGGGGAAAACACCTTGTTGCCATGGTTTCACATCATAGCAACCAAAAACTAAAGAGCAAAAATTCCTCTGGCTCCACAGCATCCAAAAATCTGAGGGAATAATTGTCCGAAAAAGTAATGCTTCAAGATGATGAACAAAAGTCTACAAAAAGAGCAAATTGGAACTAACCAAGCTGGAATACCAATATTAATTTGATTTTAATTGAGCTACTCCAACATGTCACAAACATTACTGATGCAATTATAGAATCATAATGCAATGCAAACCCTTGTGGAGATTAAAAAGGTTTTTTTTTTTATTGATTTTGATGCAAATGTGCATCTGACAAATGTGTTTGTTTTACTTTAGTTCAACATCAAAATTTAGATTTTTACAACCCCAGAATACAAAAAACATTGGTTAATGTTTATTAAATGGCAGCTTCCAAGATTGTGAGTTTTTGTTGAATGCCACCATCGAGAAAGCATTTAGAACAAGGCACCGCAGCTCCGACAGAGAAGAACACATTTTCTTGTTAAAATGTCTGCTTGATTTGTTTGGGATGTTCGTGGACCTTGAAATGTTATCTTTTTAGGACAGCCGTGGAACATAATAAGGACCGCACAGGTAACTCAAACAGATCAGTGTTACATGAATGTGGGTGGTATCAAAACTAGATAAACTGAATTTGTTTCCAAGATCTCAACTTCTGGTTCACTAAAATAAAATATTATTTCTACAACTCTTTTTCTCCTAACATGAATGTACGCTTCCATTTATAATGTTTAAAAAAGGAAATCAAAATTTAAATTTTTTTAGAAGTTGAATTAAAAGCTTAAAGATGTGCAGTGTTTATGTTTTAAATAAGGCCTAAGGGAAAAGGTTTTAATCAATATCCTTCAGTCATTTTGAGGTTTAGGCAGACTAGGTGTCATGCATCTAATGTGAAAATGCTATTCATTAAAGACTTGACCCAAGTCTTAGAATAATTACTAGTGAACATCTATACTTTGCGGTACATTTATCGCATTTTTAAGGTAGTATGGGGTGCTTACGGGCTGCGCTGTTTGTACTGGTGTTGATGGCTTCATTCCACTGGTCAGCACTGGACACGGAGAAGGAGCGTTGGTGCATGCCGTCTTTACTGCCGCCAAACGCCGACCCACCCGCTTGTAGAGAAATGCTGCTGTTGGAGTGAGTTGCACCTGTAGAGAAAGTGACAAAGGCACAAAAATGAGTCAGATTTTGTTCATACTGGTCAAACTTTGTTTTGGTAGTACAGCAAAACTTAGCCAAGGACATGTTTCACACCGTCACCTCACATGAACAAAGAATGGAACACATTTTCTTCTGAACACTTTGCCTACTCATAACTAATTTAAATCTGATATGTATTTATTTTCTATGTTCTTTCTAATTTATTTCAGTTTTGTACAGAAAAAAATATGTGGGAGAACATCATTGTTGCGGTGCAAAGAAGCAGCAGCATCTATTCTGTGTTTTTCTCAGTAATAGTCATCAAAAACCAGTCAAAAATTGGCTGGGTATGTTTCTGATATTCTGATACCCTTGAGATTTTATGGTAGAGATGAGTGTTTAAATGTATGTATATATATGTTCTTGGCCACATTTTCTTTACTTTGATTTAGAGGCGAAACAGAACCTTCTACAGTCACGTGGCCTGTGCCTTTTATGAAAATTGGAATATCTCTTAGACAGTGATTTTACTTGCATTTAATTGCTTTTAATAAAAAAAAAGAAAACTCAAATTTCTCCTCATTCAATTTATTTCAGTTTTTATTTGTATAGCGCACGTTCACAACAAATGTCGTCTCCCTGCATTTTACTAAAATTGTCTCTTCTTGACCACTCACAAGGGAAAAAAACAAACAACAACACTAATGTTCCTATGTCATATTTTGCATTTTAACACAAAAATCCAATAACATTGTTTGTTGTTTTTCATTACGGGTTTCTAAGGAGAGCACCCAAATTACCAAAACATACATAGAGAGTGGTCCTGTTGGTTTTGGTTCTAGTCTGAGGAAAACAATCTAGCCAAAGTAATTGAAACATCCAAACAGCTTGTAATGAAGTGATAATATGCAGTTGTTAACTGCCTTTTGTAGTTTAAGCTGCACCTTACCAGCACAGTCACCTTATTTCTACACATATTTCCATCAACCGACCGCCCCCCTCCCCTTGCACAGACACAAACACACGGAACCCTTTTCCCTCCGCCTCTGCCTCTAATTAGCCCTTAATTAACAAGATACACTCTGAACGCTAATTATCTCGCTTCATCCCTCTGACTGCCACATCGATCTCCACTGGCGTCAGCAGGCGTTCTCTCCCTAACTTCCAATCAGGCGAGCCATGGACGCCTGGCTCTCTTTACTAATTCATGGCCAAGGCTGCGCGGTGTGGGGTCCTTTCCCTCTGATGTGAACAGTTGCTATCGTACATCCCAACTACACTGAGAAATTCATTGACGTGCATCAAAGCAGAGAGTGCATTCAGGTCAACGGTGGCATTTTGTAACATTTATTTGTTAACTAAAATAATAGTTCCTTAAATATTTTTCTTTATCCTCAAAAGTCACGACTGTAGTTCATGCATGCTTGCATCAAAGCAGGACTGCAAAAACAGATCAATCTTGTGAAGCTGATCGAAAACAAAAAAAAGGTTAAAATTTCTGTTGTTTTATTATGGGAAACAACACATTTCCCAAATTTTCTTCACATTGCTTTATCTTACAGGTAACACAAATCAAGCCCCTTTTATCTACTAATTACAAGACAATATCAGTTTTTGATTGAGGTGATAACAGAAAATATACTCTGTGGCTCGTGTGTAAAGTAAACTAAGCGGCACGGGTGCTTGTTAGGGTAATATGTCCTACTCATTATCTAGAGTAATAAGTGTATCAAATTCACATAATCATGTCTAATTAGTATCAGTAATTATCTTGTTGGGCCCAGGAATATTAATCTTCAGGTCCCAGAGGGGAGGGAGCAGAATCGCAGCAAGAACGGGAGACAGAGCGAGGGAATCATGCTGAGGAGCACCGACTAAATTAGCATGCTGAAATCAGAGCAGAGGAAGAGGAAGGGGGGTGAGAGGGGGACTTGGTAAGGAAGAATAAAAAGGAAATCTAAAACTTTGTTTTTAAGAACTATGAATGAATAACAAATAAAACGAGCCTTCCTTCTTTTGTCTGCTTGTATCCTTTTTTTTTTTTTGAAGGAAAAAAAAAAAAAAAAAAAAAAAGATTTTTTAAAC